AAATATCCACAAACACTTTATGAAACTAAGGAAATATCAAAAGGCTAAAAAAACATTTGAAAAGTATCTTTTTTTTTATTTATCCAAATTGAAGCCTCGGTTGGTTCGAGAGTTGCGAGTTTTGGCCGGTTGCTACTTCAAATTGATTCCGTGTATCAATCTTCATAAAATTTGGTCAAAATATCCACAACCACTTAATGATACTAAGGAAATGTTAAAAGTCTAAATAAACATTTGAAAAGTATATTTTTTTTCGATTTATCCAAATTGAAGCCTCGGTTGGTTCGAGCGTCGAGAGTTTTTGCCGGTTACTACTTCAAATTGATTTCGTGTATCAATCTTCATAAACTTTGGTCAAAATATTCACAAAAACATAACATAGATACATATATACATATGTGATATAGCGTCTCTTCTTCTTTTTTAGTTGGGCCCAACCCTGAAATCGGAAATCCGAAAACAGTCTCAGAGGTTTTTTACGATCGGACCTGACTACAATTATTTCATTTATCGATGAGGCTCCTTTTCTGTTTCATTTAAACCAAAGTAAATACGGCACGAAATGTTTGTTAAATTTGAATCTTTAATTACAATTTATTTTCACATAAAATTACAATATATTTTATTAATTATTATTTTTAATTTAAAGAATCCTTTTATCCTATAACATACCTATCTCAAATCTACAAACCTTAATTTTAAAATGGAATTTTATTCTCGTTTTATAGTCCATAAAGAAAGGTAAAGAAATTATTATTATTATTAATATTATTAAAATTTTGACCACCAAATTAGAAAATACAATTACAATATTAACACAACTTTTAAAATGAAATATTATTTCTTTTATTTTTGTTTATAAAAATATATACCTTTTTAAAACTAAATTACAGTTATTATTTTTTTATTTTGACGTCAAAGTAATAAAAATTAACTCACTTGAATAGTGTGCACACCAATTTTTTCTTTTTTACCAAAAATAGGTGTTTACCCACACATCCCAGAAGGGGATCTGTTCTAGGACTTGAAAAAAAATAGCCCTTTCTTGGCCCCTACTCCTATCACTGTTTGAGTGTGTGGAGGGGCTTGGCGGTTCATTTAAATCTGAACGTGACACATACATAGATACATAGATACATTGATATAGATACATAGATACCTAGATACATAGATACATTGATATAGATACATAGATAAAACCAAACTGAGTTTCCGGAAGCTGGAAATTTCTCTCCAACCACCATTCGAGGCGAGTCTTGATCATACGTTCGTAGGACTTAAGCATTGAAGACATTAAAGAAATGGGGCGGTAAGATTTATAGTTATCTGAAGGTTTGCCCTGCTTTTTTATCACTATTACAATTGTGTCCCTCCAACTATCAGGAATGGTTTTTCTACACCAGAAACCGCTATATATACCCAAAAGGGCTCCTTTGGCTGATTGGGGGAGATTACATATCATGCTATATTGAATCTGGTCAAAGCCTGGAGCTGTATTATTCGATTTTTGTAGTACTTCTTCCAGCTCACTCATTGTAAAAGTATGTGTCAGTTCATTATCTCGGACCTGGTCTGAATTTCCGTGTATCAGGCGGTTGCTCGGTCCCGGTGGGCAAAGATTGTTAATGAAATCTTCAAGCCACTGTCCCTGAACTATAGGGGCATGAGGGCAAACCGGAACATTCTTTATTGCCTTTAGTTTGTTCCAAATTGATTTGATGGGTGTGCTTTTATTTAAAGAGGAGCAAAAGGTTTTCCAGGTTAGAGATTTTGCTTTCTTAATAATTTGGTTAGATTCTTTTTGTATGACCTTTAGAGCTTCATAGTTATTAAATGTGGGGTTAGACCTGTAAACATTGTACGCTTTTTTCCGTTTTTTGAGGATCGAATCGCAATCTGAGTTCCACCAAACCTTCGCCAAAACCTTTGATCCTTCCCTTCTTGGTTTATTGCCTTTGTAATCCAGGTACTGTAGATGTTTGTCTATCAGGATACCTATTCCACCATAACCATCCCTTCTGTCTTTTCTGTGGAAATGAAAACCGCGAAATTTGCAAACGGTGGTGGAAGACAGCCAAGTCTCCAATAGAAAAACCAAATTGGCCTTCTTCTCATCTAATAGAACTTTTTTGGGGATAATTGACCGTGCATTCCACTGCAAGCAATTTAGATTAATATTCTTGGAAGGGACCATAGGAAGTTATCATGTAAAACATAATAATCAATAAGAGGAATAAAGTGGAACATTTTGTGTAAAACGATTTTCAACCGGTAATGGTGAGTATTATATTTACTTAGCATTGAGGTTATCGTTATTAATTTTATCCCCCTTTTTTTTTAATACCCAGTTAGTTTTCGGATATTCACTGGGTTTATTTTGGTACAGAGCCATCCAATTTCTGAAATATCGGTAGGCTCATAACACTGTTTTTTATAATGTCATTTAAATTTGTGGACACTAGTAGGTTGTCATTTTGAGCCTCTCTAATTATATTTACAACGCGCAGTACCGATTCACAAATAAGAGCGAAATTTAGACTTTTCTCGTCATCATTTTCTTTGGGACGATACGGATTAAAGGGGATGAGCCCTGCTGGGGTATCTTTTGGGGTTGGAGTTAGCGGACTACAAAGTCTTTTTGGGGTTTGAGCCATGAATTCCCCAGGGGGGGAGGAGATTCTTCTTTTCCGAGTGTTGGCCATTGTATAAGCGGGCAAGGATGGAGGGGCTACTTTAGGGAATGAAGAATTGTCTTTAAGAGGGGGGTCAGTGGCGGCCCTTGCGTATGATTTTTGTCTACTGCCTGCAATGCATCGCTGTAAGACAGGTTTTCAACTGCCATTATGGTTTTGATTCTTTTCTGTTTGTCATATTCGGGGCATTCCCTTTGAGAGAAGACCGAGTGGGCGCCTTTGCAATGCAAACATTTAATTGGGGTTCCTGTTTGTGCACAGTCCTTTTTTCCATGATTGCCGTGACAAAGAGTATAGCGTAAAACACTCTTGCAATGATCTTTTACATGTCCATACCTTAGGCATTTGAAGCATAGTACAACATTTTTTACAAACGGCTCGACCTTGCATCTCACGTAATGTATTGTAACGTGCTCGGGCAGAGCCTGACATTTGAACGTAATCAGCACAGTCCCCGTGTTTATCAGATTGCCGGCTTCAGTAGCGGGTTTGAGCTTATCTATCTTCCTTTTAAATCTCCGAACATTTAAAATTTTTATATTTTGGCTATCCGTTTTTATAGACTGTAAAAGTTCCATGTCGGTGAGTTTCGGATCGACTCCTCTTATTACATCCTCCCTAACCAAGAGAAAGGACGGGATATACCAGATGATTTGCCCCCTGGTAGGACTTAAAAATTACCCTAACTCTGTTTTGCCCTGATCTATCCTATACTGGAAACTTCGTGGCTAATCTTAGGGTGATTTTCATAAATCAGTTTACCAAGAGACATTGCATGCAATTTTGCCAAACCGCCCGTCTGACCATCAATCTGTTTGCTCTCCAGATAAACGTGGTAAGGTCCCTTGTCAGTCTTCGAAAATAAGCTTCCCTGTTTTTCGGAGTCGTTAATATTAAGGGTCAATCGGAGTTTATCAGAACCCGGATTGTGGCCATCGGGTACTTTCGATTTTGGATCGAAACTTCCATCCATAAATTCTGTTAATTCTCGTCCCCGTCCCGGGAGAGCCGAATCATTTCCTCCGCTCGAAGCGGACATTATCTTAGGTCGACCAGCAGCCGACCAGAAGTGAATCTACGGGTTTCAATTATAAAAATAATTGAAAAACCAAACAAACGGACGAACAAAAATTCACCTTAGTAACAATTAATGTTAAGAAAAGGAAAAATACTTGTAAGAACAACAAGTTAACGCCGGCGCTCTCCTTATCGTGATGTGTATCGTACGAAGGTCGAGGTCAGACTGAAAATATAGTAGGTATTCCTGTACATGAAAACTGAAATCTTTATTAAAAGCGGTGTATTTAGCCGAAGATCGTGGGTTCGAATCCCGCTCGTAACACTGACTTTTTTATCTCAACCAATACCTTAAATAAGGATTAGTTAATTGGTCAATCGGACCACGAACTCTAATGGATTTAATAATAAAAATGAAGTATTTTTTCACTAAAGCTCTCCGTGGCCATTTCGTTTGTCGCCGAGAATGAAATACATTACACGACATGTGAAAAATGGCAAAAAGCAGGAAAAATTCGAATGGCGGGTTGAGGTGAGAAGTTAGTGTCCGAGTGGATTGAAGTCACAATAACTCATGTGGTAGAGCAGCGGCGTATTTAGCCGGAGGTCGTGGGTTCGAATACCGCTCGTGACACTGACTTTTTTATCTCAACCAATCCTTAAATAAAAATTAATTAATTGAAAAAAGTTAATTGGTCATTCGGACCACGAATTCTAATGGACTTTTGAAAAAGGTTGAACAACACATTCACTCCACTATTTATCTTTTCTATGAAAACTGAAACTCGCAACTACGTTACACGTAAATAAAAAAAAACTATCGAAACCAACTTGTTCCGTTTTGTCCAAATTTCTGTCCAAAAAAGTCGGATTTGTGTCGTTCTTTCGCTTTTATCTTCTTTATTTGGAGGTTTACGAACTTAATTTGGTTAATTGAAGGGAAAGCATGGTTTATCTGCATTTATTAAAGTATGACATTTATCGCTGTAATTCACGCAGAGCCTGTAAATAGTTGTACGTGCTTTTATGGTAGTATAAATGAGAGAGGGGTTGGTGTCTGTGCGCGTGCGTGGGTTGCTGTAACCGACGGTTTCAGTTTCTTGTCTGACACAGAGGTGGTAACGACTGCCCTCCGTCGCCGTAAACTTTTCGTATTTTACGTTAACACTATGAAGCACATATAGTCTCCTAGCAGGAGAACGGAATGTGCTTGGAGCATAAAATGCGGGTCGCACCAAAACGATGCCATTAATAGAAAAGAATGGCGTAGTACTAAAATCGAATTTTCTTTCAAAATTAATTTTTTTTGTGAATATTTTTGTAGTGACCAGTGTTTTTGTAATTACCAAAGTTTAAATTCACAAAGTGATATATATTTTGTTAAATGAGCATTTTTAAATGTTGATTTTGTCTGTGTTCTAACAGGATTTATAACCATATAATTATCACTTTTACTATGTGTGGGGTTGCGTCCTGAGGATTCTTGTTAATAGAAAAAATGAAGGTAATTAAAATGCATGCAGTTGAAGCACAAAATAAACAGAATTCATAGCACATTTTGAATAAATGTTAGAGAAAAACGAGAAAAACTATGTTTAGTTTGCAAGCACTTTACGTATTTGGTACAATGAAAAGTTAGATAACCCCAATCTTTATTTTAAAAATCTACTATTTAAATAGAAATATTTTGTTTATTTTTTGCTCCTTTAAACTCTAATATATTACCTACTTGTCTTAACCGGGATATTGACAAACAATGTATAACTTGAACAATTTCATGTGATACATTCTTCTATAAATACACTTTGTTTGATTATTGATAAAAACCTGTTGGTAGAAATTTTAATTACTTTTTTAAATTGTATTATTTGAAATCTCAATACACATTGCTAATCAAACTATATGATACTTATTCTTAAAAATTCTATTATTACTTTCGAAAATGAATTTTTAAAGTTGTGGCAAAAAGAGGTGAGAACCAAAGAAAATTACATTTTCTCGGAAGCAATTTGAACAACGGGGCAAATTTGTTACTCATAATTAATTAGAATTAAATCAAATATGTAACGAAAATAAATGCTATTCGTTCTTTTCGTGTAGAAATGTGTGGTGTTCATTGACCGTTAGCCAATGGTTATTTGGAGATCGTGAGATGCGGTCTGTTGTGACGTAGGTTTTAGAAAAACATTTTCTTTATCATGTCAACGTTTCGATCTTCATTGAGAACATCTTCAGGGCTCAAAGTGTTTGTTTACCATGTAGATGTGTCATGTCTGTCGTGTTGAGTGCATGTGGGACGAAGAATTAGCACTCTTTATACGACTCAGAAGAATGACACATCTACACGGAAAACATACACTTTGAGCTCTGAAGATGTTCTCAATGAAGATCGAAACGTTGACATGATAATCCAAATGTTTTTCCAAAGCCTACGTCACACCAGAACGCATCTCACTATCTCCAAATAATAGACGAGATTTCACCATTCTTTTGCAATTTATCCTCATAAAATGTGAATCCTTTAGAATATAATATTTATAATCATTAACTGCTGTTAGATAATCAAACGCATTTGTTGATCGAAATTGTATTACCGAAAATAAATTTAAATATGTTTATCAGAAATCAAAATTTACATCGAAAATGCTGTATGTACGCAATGTTACATTTCTATTTACAGAATGTTTCGAAAAATGATAAAATTTGTAAGTTTAAAGGTTAAGACGGTAAGGTTGAAAGGAAGGCGTTCACATGGCGACTTGTCCCTTAAGAGTACATCATACCAATAGGCTTATTGACAAAAACACCGGCAACCCGGGTTTGTTGCTAAACCCAGTAAAATTTAAAAAAAGAATATTGTATATGGAAATGTATATGGATATATCTAGAGAAAATAATACTAATAAATTTTCTTTATAAAAAAATAACACACTCAATAAGCTGAATGGTTAAAAATTAAAGAAAATTAAAGATGCATTTATATTTTCATACATTTTTAAAATGAAAAAAAATTCTGTAGGGCGAACTAGTGTTGATCGTAGACGAAAGGTGACTTGGTAATCATGAACCATGCGTTATTACTTTTCCCTTAGTTCACAAGAAGTATGCATGGGTTTCACAAAGCTAACAGCCGGGAACACACTTACCCTATGCGACGCTACACGGCGCTACCCGATGCTACCCGACGCCTTGCCACGTTTTGGTAGGGTGTGAACATCTTTGCGACGTCAAGCGCACGCCACGTACAGTCACACAGCATATAACACAATAATCACTATCACGGTCGCAACGAGTACTTTGTTCTTAATGCACTATTTTGACCAAAACTTAAAAAAATTTTAGTTAAATTTTATGAGCACAACCATGTAATAACTTGTTTGTTAAACTTAATTGTTTTAAATAAAGTTATTCCGGTGTTTTGATAAATTTTCGGCCTAACCATTATAATTAAATAATTTTTATAAAAACTCACGAATTTTCGATCTCTTTTAATTTGGTTTATATTAAAATAAGAATGCTGTAATTAATATAACGACAAAATTTCATACATTTATTTGAAATAAACTACAAAAAATATGAGTGTCTTTTTTCTGACGATACTCGAAAAAATGGCGTAATTTTATGAGTAAAACCATGAAATAAATTGTTAGTTAAATTTCATGAGCGAAACCGTGTAATATATTGTTAGTTAAATTTATTATATCACATAATGGTATTCCGGTGTTTTGATCAATTTTCTACCAAACCATTAAATTTAATGTGTGGTGATTAGTGACCGTTAATCGATAATTATTCAGAAATCGTGAGATGCGGTCTGGTGTGATGTAGGTTTCAGAAAAACATTTTCTTTATCGTGCCAACGTTTCGATCTTTATTGAGATCATCTTCAGAGCTCAAAGTGTTTGTCTTCTGTGTAATTGTTTCATTCTTGCGTGTCGTGACTGGCACTCTCAACATAATTAAAATTAATTTTAAAAAACTAATGAATTTTGATCTCGATTAATTTGGTTTATATTAAAGTAAGTATGTTGTAATTAATATAACGGCAATAGTACAGTAGTAGTTTGAATAAAAATATGAGTGTCCGGTTCTTTTGTATTTGACCGTACTCTATGCTACCCGACGAAAATCTGGACAATAAGGATCGCAGAACGTAGAGTAGGGTAGCGTTGCATAGCATCGGACGATGTTCACGGGGATAATATAGAATTGACTTATGGAAAAATAGACTTGGAATTGCGTCGTGTAGCGTCGCATAGCGTTTCATCGGGTAAGTGTGTTCCCGGCAACTTCTGGTTGATAGCTGGACATAGTTGTGTATTTCTGGTCGTTTTCATTTTTGAGTTAATAATTTTGCTAATATTAAGAGTTGACTATTTAAGATTGATTAAGGCACAACTAGATGGCTGGGGATAGTCCATCCCTTATAGGTGTAGCATAAATTGTGGCGTTTTTATCCTATTGGTAACTTATAGTATACTATATACTAGGTTTACGTTGAACGTTTAAGTTGAACGTACGTATATTTACGTACGTACAGGTTTACGTATATTGACATAGTGGAGAGAAATATATATATTAAAGATCACATTTTCCTGCTGAGGTAGGAGGTTTTATTTTTTGCAACATGACTGACATCAATATGACTGAGTGATTGTAACAAAAAATTGTACCTTTTTTATGGTCAAAGATGGATAATCACATAGATTATACAACAACTTATCCAGTTAATACTTAACCAGTTTGTTCTCATCTTGTGAACGTCCAGACAAAGATAAAACTTATTGAACTCTACGATACATTATAAGCAGTTTCTTTTATGGTACAGAATCGAGTTTTTTTATGCGGCCGTATCAACTGGAAAGATTCCTTGTTTCAAGTGAAAACGGAACGAACAGGCGACAACCTTTAGGAAAGCCAAGAGAAACAACTCCAGGCAGTAGAGAATTCACACTACATGTCTGACGTAAAAAAAACCCTCAAACGGCAACAGGCTCTACCTACCAAGCAAAACAGCCACTGTGGCTAATGTAAAAAAGGGGAGTTTATTATTTTTTTTTTCGGAGACAAACTTTTTGTTATTCTTCGGGTAAAATATACCTTTAACATCCTTGTGGGCGTATTGAATTTTATTATGAACTCTATTACTTCCATCACGACACGAGTGTACACTGCGGTCACATACATAAATAACACACACACACACACATTTATTTACTTATTCAATTTATACTTTTAATCGTTACAATGAATTTACTTAATGAAATTTACAATAACTTTTTTAAAATTTTGAATGCTGAAATGAATCAAATGACCACTCAAAACGTAATACATTTCCTTCGAGGGGTATGTTTCATATAGTGGGTCACAGCCATTTGTAAAAAATGAATTTCAATTTCTCGTAATTAGCCTAGGAACATTAAAGTTCACACATTCTCATAGTTTAGGACTTTCTCTCATGCCATTTACTAAATTATACAAAAATAACATATCTAGATTCTTTCTTATGTTTTCAAGTGACAGCAGACTCAATTTCTTTCAAATTCGTGCTGGTTTCTAACAAATTTGATTTTACAAACTGTATAAGGAAGGAATTTATTTTGGATAATTTCTAGATTGTGTACATTTTTTTCATAGATAGGCAACCATACAACACTGTTATACAAAGCTGCAATAAACAGAATTAAACACTTCTTTATTGCTGAAATCTGCACTTTTACGCATTATATATCACAGAGTTCGTAGACGTTTCTTTTGAATAAAAGATATATGGTTATTAAAAGTCATTTCATTATCAAAAATTACACCTAAATATTTTATCACATTTAACTTTTTGTTAATTTGGACATCGCGTAATGCAGTCTGGTGTGACGTAGGTTTTAGAAAAACATTTTCTTTATCGTGCCAACGTTTCGATCATCTTCAGGGCCTGGGATTTATAAAAATTGTTTCAATTTTACAAATACAGGGTGAATTGCTACTCGTGCTACAAACTTCTCCAGTAGATTCTTCACCCTAAAATGAACAAAAAAGTTCATATTGTCCATGGTCCGATTCTCAACCATTTCAGAGTAATTTCGCTTTTTATCGATTTTGAAAGATATCACGTCCTGGCGTCGGAAAATCGTGATATCTTTTAATCTAAACATTTCTCT